AGATTTTCACTGTAGGGCGCGTGCGCTCGCCAGACAGACAGAGAGAGACAGAGAGACAGAAAGCGAGAAATCACCCCCCAGGGGGGATGGTCACGCCGCAATCCCTTCTCCTCCATTCTCCTCTCGGGATCTTGGGCACGCACACACACGCGCCCGGCGTGAGTTTTAAGCCACCGGGTCCGGGACACGAACCGCGGTCGACTACGTGGGAGTCCAGCGACATAGCCATTACGCTAACTGCTGGTTCCCGGTACTGCTCTGTCTTAAAGCAGATTTTTCCTATTATTATCTGTCATCTATTAGTTTTTTTTTTTTTTTTAATTGTAAATTGTCTCTTTCCCACACTTGACTAAACTATATGAGGGCAAAAGTTTGTCTATCTGAGCCTTACTTGCCATTGGCTCTCTGGTTGCCTTGTACAATAGACATATAATATATGGGTACTCAGTATAACAGATGTATAATTTGATGGAATTCTTTTAAATTCAAAGGATTCCAGAATATGACATGTTCATATTTGTTTTTCTGAGATTTTGATAGATACAGATGGTGGAAAGTTGTATAGGTAAGAGGAAGTTGAGGGCCAGCCAGTGTTGTGATTGAGGTGGCTGTATCCCACATGCCTGACTGCATAGTTCAAGTCCCAGACTCCGTGACTTGAAAAACATGCCAGGTTGTGTATGTGCATGCCCAAGATGCTGAGAGGAGAGTGGAGGAGAAGGGATTGCAGATGGCCGTTCCCCTCAGGCGTGTTTTGTCCACCCCTCCTCCTTCTATCCCTGTATCTCTCAGGGGACCTCATGTGCCCTGTATTAAATTTCAAAGAAAAGAAAAAAAAATAAGAAAAGGAAAGGAAAGGAAGAAAGAAAAAGGAGGGAGGGAGGAAGGAAGGAAATAATGGAAGTATTTTGAGGGCAAAGAGAAAATTTTTAGCAAAGGATCATTTCATTTTTTTTATATACAAGAATGCTGACAGTGATAATCAGGGTAACCTAATTTCTTGTCCATTTGATAAGAAAGAGAAAAATATATCCCTAACTGTGGAATTTCAGTTATTTTCAGTTTTTTTGAGCAACTTTGGGTACATGTTTATTTCTAGACCAATAGATTTATAAGAAGAATGCCATGTACTGATTGGATTGGTGTAGTCACGTGAAAGGTAGGAGGGAAATGGGTAAATCAGTTATATTGTATACTGAAGATATTCAGTATGACTATGTTTGGGCTCTATGATAACAAAGGACATTAGTTGATGTAGATTCTTCATTATCTAGTCTCATTGATTAATTGGATCCTAATGGTTGTGAGGATAGAGAAATGATAGGAAGTATGGAATTCAAATTTTTTGGGGGGGAGAAAATATGTATGAGTTTAGATTTTGATATGAAATAAGAAACATGAGATTATCCTTTGCTGAGTTTGCATTAAGTGTGTTTTTGAAAGATGCTTTCCTGAAAGTTAGGAATTTAGTTTATGGGTATGGTAAAGTTCTCTAAGATGATTGCTTACAGTGAGAATGGGAGAAGAGCTTAGCAAGTCTTAGAATATTCACATTTAAGAAGTTGTTAGATGAACTGGAACTCTTAAAGAAGACAAGGAGTGGGCATAGGACAGATAGAATAATCAGAAAGCAGCATCATAAAAGCCAAGGGAGTAGATGTAAATTAAAGTTGAAAGTAGGGGATTTTTCTGGCAGTGACAAATGAGGACCACATCTTGAGAGTAACTAGGATTGTATATGCTGGAGGAGAAACATACGTATGTGCATGTGTATGTCTGCCTGCCAAAAGCTATCAGGGAATGAGGAGTTTCAGGTCACAGTTGAGGACATGAGGGGAGCCTGGTAAAGTAAGCCTGGCATTAAAGCCTGTATTTCCTTTTGAGACATGTGCCAATTCTGAAAGTGGTAGCTGAGACTACGAAAAGAACTTTCAATAGACTTTTGAGTTCAAAGAGATAAAAATTGGAGTTTCAGCCCCATGAAAAAAGAAGTATCCTAGTGACTAAACTCCTAAGCTTTGAATTAGTTATGAAAGGGACTCACTATGCTAGCAAATGTGAAATGGAAGTAGACCTAACTTTATAGAACACTGAAGTAAAAATTTTAATCATCTCAATCCTTGAGTGGATTTTGTGGTATTTTTATTGCCTCTATTTTAGCTGACGCACAGTGAAAATAAATATTCCCTGGAAAAGATGACATATTTAGAGCTTTAAATGATCTTTGTGTGCTTTTCATGTAAATGTCTGTGTCCTGTACTCATTCAGTAAAAATCAGGCATATTGGGCATTTGACACATGACTAGAAACAAATGGCAGCAACAGACAAAGAAACTTGTCCCTCAGGGGATTCATATATGGTAGATACCAGCTACAGACTTTCAAAGTGTCTATAGTGAAAGCATTAAAAAAGATGGGGTCCAGCAGGTGGCATGGTGGTTAAGGTGTTGGACTCCTGCATGGCCGACTGTGATTTGAGTCCTGAACCTAGCAGTTTGTTTTCTCTCTTTCTTTCTCTCCCTCTCTCTCTCTCACTGTCTGGCGAATGTGCGTGCCGTATTTCAAATTAAAATAATGATAATTATAATAAAATTAAATAGTTCTTTTAAAAAAGTAATAAAAAGATGGAGTTGATAAGTTTGGCAGAACTACAAACCATATAAATGTAAACATTGGTATAAATAAATGTAAATGTAAATGAATTTTATTTGCATGTGCAGATACATGTATGTACATATGCATACTCATTAATGTTAATATATATGTGTATGTATTTAAAAAATAAGAAGTGAAGCATGGAAAAAAGCATGAAAAATGATAGAAAAGCCCTTAAGATATATAGAATACAGTGAAAAGGATTAACATATAATTGGAGATCCAGATGGAAGGGAAAAAGACTGGAATGAGGGGGACCAGCAGTTAGAGTAATGGCTATGTTGCTGGACTCCCATGTAGTCGACCGTGGTTTGAGTCCCGGACCTGGTGGCTTAAACTCATTCTGGGTGTGTGTGTGTGCGTGCGTGCCCAAGAATGGAGGAGAAGGGATTGCAGCATGGCCATCCCCCCTGGGAGGGTGATTTCTTGCTTTCTGTCTCTCTCTGTCTGTCTGGCAGGCACACGTGCCCTATAGCAAAAACCTCTCCAAAAAAAAAAAAAAGATTGGAACGGAAACCATATTTGAAGATAAAATGATTTACATTTAAAAGGTGGTCTAAAAGTGATTAATAAAAGTGATTAAAAGCAGGGACCAACATGTGGCATGGAGGTTAACATAGCTGGATCCCACATCGTCAATTGTGTTTCAACTGTTAACATATAGATAAAATAATTTTTAGTTTCTATCATAGGGCATGAGCACTTGTTGGAGAAAGAGAGAGGGAGAGTGAGAAATGACCTCCGGGGGGTGGGGGGAATGGTCATGCCCTGTTCCTCATTCTCCTCTCAGGAATTTGGGCACACACTCACATGTGCCTAGTGTCATTTTGAAACTGCGGGGTCCCGTACTCTAACCACGCAGATGGCCATATGGGAGGCCATGTTGCATTGCAGTCAGCTATTTGGGATCCAGCCACCTTAACCTCGTACCATCTGCTAGTTCCCTAGTCTAGCTATATTAATAGCAAGTAAAGTAGGCAATAGAGAAAAAAGCCTTAGTAGAATTTGAGACATTTAATTATGGGCATGTGATTTATACTGTTACAATAATAACATTGGAGAAAAGATGCAGTAAATACTGTTCATTAATTCTTTTTTTGGAGAGGTTTTTTGCTATAGGGTGCGTGCGCTCGCCAGACAGGCAGGGAGAGACAGAAAGCGAGAAATCACCCCCCAAGGGGGATGGCCACGCCGCAATCCCTTCTCCTCTATTCTCCTCTCGGGATCTTGGGCACGCACGCACACGCGCCCAGTGTGAGTTTTAAGCCACTGGGTCCAGGAGGAGAACTGCGGTCGACTACATGTGAGTCCAGCGACATAGCCATTATGCTAACTGCTGTTTCCCCTGTTTATTAATTCTTACCTATTGAATTTTCAGGAAAGTCATTACACATTTTTGTATATTAAAAAAGAATCCAGAAAAATATGTCATGACTTTCTCAGTGACCTAATACGTAAGGAATAAAATCTTAACCTTTACCTCACACTGCACACATTTGAATTTAGAAATACATTACTCCGTGTTTGCCTTATGACCGAAGCTGCATGGTAGAGCAGTGGAAAAGAACATTTGTTTTCAGTATGTGATGCCAACTGACACTTGAATCCTACCTCTTTTACTTTTAAGAGAGATTTTTTGCTGAAGGGTGCATGTGCCCACTGGAGAGAGAGAGAGAGAGAGAGAGAGAGAGAGAGAGAGAGAGAAATCATCCTCAAAGGTGATAGCATCATGCCTCAGTCTCTTTTCCTCCATTCTCCTTTCAGGATTTTAGGCACATAAGCCCAACATGTTTCAAGCCACCGAGTCTGGGACTTGAACCAAGGTTGGCCATGCGGGAATCCAGTGCCTTAACCATTACACCACCTGCTGGCCCCGAATCCTACTTCATATGGGGAAGTCAGGAAACTCATGCCACATTTTTGAAAAGAAAAAACTTCCAGTGACTCAGTAAAATGTATAAAGTCAGTTCTACATGGTTTGTGGCTTTAAATGTCACAGGTAAAAATGTTTTTCTAGAAGGTAGCATATGCAAGTATGAGGGAGGTCTTCATAAATTTCATGGAAAATGTGTATTATAAAAAAAAACTATGTATGAATTTTAACACTTTTCGCACCCAGATAATGTCTTATTTTAATTTAGTTTTTATGATGTTCCTCTTTATCTTTGTGTCTTTGAATCAGCAAGCTATTTTAACAGGACACACAGGCACCACCAGCAAGAATAAGCTAGATCATTTGACTTACATTAAAATTAAGATATTTAAATTTTAGTTATTTAGGCTCATGTGATTAAAGTATAATTGTAAAATAAATACAAGCAACGTACACATACACAAATGTAAAGAATAAAAGTTAATGTTTATGTCTTTTTCATACTTTTTAGCCTGATACTAATAATAAATATAAACAAATTAAACAGTTCTGATTGTTAAAATTTTGTTAAATATTTTAAAATTATCAGATGAAAAATCAGTGCTTGAACAGAAACCTTCTAAACCAGCAGCTCCACAAGTCCCACCCAAGAAACCTACTCCACCCACCAAAGCCAATAATTTATTGAGATCTTTAGGAAGTGTGTACCCAAAGCGACCTGAAAAACCAGTTCCTCCACCACCTCCTGTAGCCAAGTAAGTTTTATCTAATTTTATTTATTTTTAAAAGTTTACTTATTACTTCTTGAGAGAGAGAGAGAGAGAGAGAGACAGCATCCTCAAAAGATTCTTGATGCTGCAATCGAACCCCAGCTTCAGCCAGACCCAGATCATGGGCACACACATTCCTGGCTAGTCTAGCCATTCTAAAAGCCTGTAAAGTACTCAGGGAGGACAGAACTGGGGACCTTTCCATGTGGGTCAGCATTGCAGAGTATAGCATTTTTCCTCTGCACCACTGTTTGGCCCCCATCACAGAATTTAAGTAAGCTCATTGATTTACTCACCTTGCACCTAAATGACTGTTGATTTTTAAAATCTCAATGTAATTTTTAAAGCATTAGTTTTCTGTATTTTCTCTATAGACTAGAATAATTATCTGTGAAATGTTAATTTTATATTCATGATAGGAGAATATACTCATTAAACTGTTTTTACTTTTCTGACTTTATCACGATCAGTAGTTTACATTTATGGAAATAGTTTTATAGGCCAGAAAGTGATCGCTATTAAGATATAAATTCTTTAATGTCATTAAATCACAGTTTTTAAAAATCATTTTTCATCTAGAAATGTTTTTTGCATGTGTTTATTTTTCTCTTTTCAGGATTAATGGGGAAGTTTCTACCATTTCATCAAAATTTGAAACTGAGCCAATGTTGAAACCAAAGTTAGATTCTGAACAGTTGCCACTTAGACCAAAATCAGTAGACCTTGATTCATTTATAAGGAGCTCTAAGGAAACAGGTAAGTAAGCCTGGGCGAAGGTTTGGTACATTAAAAAAGCTGTCAATCTCATTTTCAGAAACTATTTAAATAAGATTTGTATACGCAATTTGTGTGTTGAAAATTTGCTTACAATTTAGTTAGTCAAAGAAGAAAAATAAGTTAAAAGATGAATGAGCAAAATCTTATGGTTCTTACTGGTCAGAGGTTTCTTATCAGATGACTGAAATGGTTAAGTTTTCATACTGGTCATAGGATTAAAATGGATGTTAGAAGCTCATACATCCATTATTCTATCCTTTCACAATAGAATGAATGACCATACCACCTAGAAGACATGAATATATTTCAGTTTTATATTTAGTTTTAAAATGAGATGATATAGATTTTTAAGTCAGCACTAGATTATGTTTAATGAGACTCTTAAAAAAATTCTCCTTTTAATTTGGCGATACTGTTTCCAATATGGAGAAAAAATTTTTTTTTTAATTCTATAATGTATACCTCAGTAGATTTCATGAATCTTTTGCTAAATTTTGATTCCTAAGCTTTAGGACTGTTTTTCAATCCATTAGGCATCTTTATTTGTCTAGTCGATACTTCTTTCTCGTCTTTTTACTTGTTCTAAAATTGAAAATCGCAATGGGGGAAGTCTTAGTAAAGGTCTGTTAGGAGCATCGTACGATCATTACTTTGTAGTAATGGTTATTATTTCACATAGTGCTTTACATTTGTATTGAGTTATCTGCATTTTAAAAATCACTTTCTCATATATGGTCTTTCTAATTTTTATAATTAGGAAGCAGGTGCTATTTTTCTCTATTTTGCATCTAAACAAAGTCAGTAGACACATCAAATGTGCATAATCATATGTATTTTACAAAAGACTCCTCAAATTCTTTTTACATGAAGTGCTTCTGATGTTCTTAGTGTTTCAGTATATTTTTTAGTATCAGTGTTAACATTCAGATTTATATTTAAACTTCAAGTTAGGTAGATGCTATTACATTTTAAGTTTTTTCAGATGATCTTACTTTTTTTCCTTCTTTTCACTTTGCCAGTGAAGAGGCTCTGACTTAAAAGGGGAGCCTTTTTTTTAGTTTTCTGACTTGAATATTGAAAATTCTTTGTTATCTATTTGGATCCTGCCTACTCTGGACAAAGCCCTTATTTATTAGTATTTTTGGGGAATAGAGATACTGAATGTATTTCAGAGAAATTTTCTGAAATACATTCAGTATGTTTAATTCTAATGAAATTATCCACCTTACTCTTAAGTAAAAAGAAATCCCTTCATGTTTTATAAAATATCCTTTTTTTAAACTTAATAGAACTATATCAGTTCAGTTATTTTCTGATTTAAAATATAACTAGAAGTGTATTTCAAAAGGTAATAGTTGAAGAAAACTTGAGTATTTACACAATTTTTTTGTGATCTTTATGACAGAATTTAAATTTTAATGGAGGCCCTCTGAGAGTTGAAATAGTAATAGTTTAAATCTGTTTTATCTGTTACTATGTATCGTTCTCAAACATTTGCTTTGTTTAATAATAGTTTATTTCAAGGTAATGGAAGTTTTTAATATTTAGATAAATATTTTCTTTTCAAAACTTTGTATATGTAGTTATCAAAAGCTTAGTGCTTTATTTCTAATAGAAATAATATGATTTGGCTTCTGAAAGCCTGTGAAAAAATAGAGTAAAAGTACAAGTCTGTATTTGCAGAAAAGTTCTGAAATCCCTGCATAATTTTTTTCAGAAAATGCATTGTCTTGGGACCAGCAGTTAGTGTAATGGCTATGTCGCTGGACTCCCATGTAGCTGACCGCAGTTCGAGTCGCGGACCTGGTGGCTTAAACTCACGCCAGGCGCATGTGCGTGCGTGCCCAATATCCCGAGAGGAGAATAGAAGAGAAGGGATTGTGGCATGGCCATCCCCCCCGGGGGGTGATTTTTTGCTTTCTGTCTCTCTGTCTGTCTCTGTCTTTCTGGCGAGCGCACATGCCCTATAGCAAAAACCTCTCAAAAAAAAAAAAATTGTCTGCTAAGTTTTGGAAGACCTTGTTTTTTTAAAAAACAATTTAAACCCTTGGTGGTAGAAAAGATCTGTTTTGTACTTTGATTTTGGGCATCATTTTTATATCCATAGCAGTTATTCTTTATTTAAATAGATGAAGAGGGTTTGTAAGTAAGGTTAGAAAACTTATAATTTGTTTAATTTTATTTTCTTCAAATAAAGAAGAAAATAAACTAGAGATGCTGAGATTTACATAAATCAGAAAGCTAACAGATGTTATCCAAGCCCTAATTCTTATTTCTAAATGTGGCCTCCTCACTTAGCCCATGTAAAAGTTCAGAAGATAAACATTTGGGGAATCGAACTGATAAATAAAATAAGTAAACTTTTCTGTAAAATGTTAGTAATTTCTGATTCTGTTCTCAGGTATGACTTCACTGGTTTTAGTCACATGTAAACATTTGTGTTCAGTACCAAGTGTCTACTGAGCAAGTATCATATCCCTCAGTAGCACTGTAGGCACAGGAAGCATGCTAAGGTCAAGGGCACAGCTGCTGGCAGCAACAGAAGCTCCTCCTTGTTTCCTTTTTTCATTAAGATATCGCCTGTCCCTAATACTTGTGATGCAAAATGCTCTACCTCTCCTATATGTCACCCTAAAAAATGTATTTTGACCCAAATACAATCTCACAGTGCACATTAGATTGAAGCATAGTTTAATTTGTATTTTTCACTTAGTTTGAGATTTTACTTTTTAAAGAACATAACATGTGAAATTAGTTCTTAAACTTAAGTTTCAAAAAGTTTAAAATGTGAAAAACGTTATTATAAATGTTATTCTTTTTCTCCTGTCTCTCCTCTATTGTTAATTCTATCTCATTGTGTTTCTCTTCTCATCTATGAAGGATATTAATTCCTGGGTCAGTTTCAGTGACACAGGCAGTAGTTTACTGATCTGCAGTGCTAGAAGACATGTAGCTAACCGTGGGTTCGCATCCCTAGCACTGACCCTGAAACACATCTGACGTGTGCATGCCCAAGTTGTTCATGGTGTGATAAAACCTGGTTGAGGGGGCCTGTCTCTCTCTGTCTCTGTCCCTCTCTCTCTCGTGCACATACTTCTCTTGTGCACATTACTACCATGAATAAAATAAGTAAACTTTTCTATAAAGTGATAGAAAGTCCTCTATTCTCATGTATGATTTTTCTATTTTCAAAGCCACACATAAACATTTGTGTATATATGTAATTATATGTATATACAAGTGCAGACTCTGACTTTAAAAAAAATGTTGTATAGGAGAGAAAGAGATTAATTTTTGATAGGGTCTTGTCGTGTTGCAATCCTTCTGCCTCGGTCTTCCTGCTAGCTAGGCCCACAGGTGCGTGCCAAGTTGCCCTGTCTGTTTTAGCTTGGTCTGGGAAATGAACTCAGATCTTCCTTGTGACCTCTGCCTTTGAGTAGCAGTGTTTTGGCAACTTGCCACTATTTTAGCTAGGACTAGATTTTGACTTCTATACATATAAGAAAGACATTTCTAGGATACTTAATCATGTTTTCTTTTTTCTTTTAAACACCATGACACAAATTCCCCTATATATATATCTTAATATGTTTATGTTATATGGTACAAATTTAAGAGCTCTTTGGAACCATGTTTTACATTTATTTTCTATTTTCAGGTATTTCAAAAATCAGTTCATTTCTAAAATAGTAAATTATCTGATAAGTAAACTTATTTTCAAATTAGTTTTAAAGTGAAAGATAGAAAATTTAGTTGTGATAGAGCCATATACATTGTTAGAAAGACCAGTGATGACATGTTCTTAGAGTATAGTGTATTATCTTTTGGTTTTCTTTCTGTGATAAATTCTAGGATTAAAAGAAAGTTAGAAAAGTGAAAGCATTCATTGGTGAATAAAAAAATTCTCTTTTTATTTGTTAGTTAACCTATTTTTTTAAATTGCCTTGTAAATATTTAGTCATCATTTCTTCCAGTAAGATTTTATAGATGTTACAAAAAGTGAGCCTATATCTAAACTAGGATTTTTAAAAAAATTAGTCTCTAACAGCAGTTTTCCTGATCAGATGTTATAGAAAGTATCCTATAAGGCACTAATGACTTTTTAATTCTTTACATATATACATATATATAAATGATGAATTGAGTCATTTTTCGTAGTGAGCTAATATAAAATAAAATTTGGCACATTTTTCTTTGATGCCATACATTTAAAATGGTGTCCTTCATTGTAATTACTGTCATGTGCTAAAGACTAAAACTTGATTGAAAGGTGATTTAATTTAATTATAACTATATTATGAGATGTTAACATACTGATTTATTACTCTGGCCTCTTTAAGCATTAAGCCATCCTTTTGCAATCTGTGGTGTTCAGTGAGTAATAACAAGGCTTCTATTTCTAGCTTAGTATATATTCAAATTAATAGTAATATTAATTTTCTTTTTGAAAGGCAGAGGAATAAATCTAAAATCTAATACACATTTTATATAAGTTTAGATAACCTGTAGTAGCTATATGCTGAACATTGAAATGGTTCTATTCATTCTACAACTGTTCCTTTTTCCTGCTTTGTAAAATAATTTTTTTGGTTTAGTCTTTTTTCTAGACATTCCTATCCTTGACTTTTCTTTCCAGATTTTGTTTCCTAGCCTGTTTGCCATGTTTCCCTTCTTACGTGTCAGGAAATTAACCTACCCTTCTCCATTTTGGTAAGATGACAATTTATGAAAGAAATCACAATAATATATTCAGTATAAATAGGTGGTGCACATTGATTTTTTTTGTAATTTTACTGAAAGTGTACATGTTTGTCTGTCTATTTATTCTAACCCTTTTGGTTTTCCATTTTAAAATAAAATAAAATTTCATTTTAGAAAAAGTTTTTCTAGTTAGTTTCAAATGTTCTCTTGAGAATTTTTTTTAATTGGCAACTGTAAAAATTATTTTCTCTAAAAGTTGGACATTTCACTTTTAATCAATTCAGTCTTCCTAGCAACATATAAAAAGTATAAGTGACTGGCAGTATGACAAAAGTAATTTCAAGAGTTAAGTGGTTGTCACGCCTTTTCTGCCATGTGTGCAGCATTAAGTATATTGTTACCATCCTGTGTAAATTTAAAAGCATTTCTATGTATCATGAATCTGAAATGTGCACTGTTCCATTTTACTAACTTAATGACTTAAATGGAGAACCTGAGAGTGTTTTAGAATAGTCAAAGTATTTGTCTTGGTGTTATAGCCCAAAACTGGACATAAAGAAGGCATTTCACATGAGCATGGTGTACAGTTTTGTAAATCTATGTTTTATTTACCCTTTCAGTTTCATTTTTCTCATCTCTTATGTTTTATTTTTTTTTCCCTGCAAGTTGCTTAAATATGCATTTGAAAATAATGTCTGTAGGCCAAAGCGATTGGATTGTATTTCTTAAGGTGTTTTTTTTTTTTTAAGGTTGTTAATACACATTTGTCAATGTAAAAAGAAGTTTTTAACTTTTCAAACTATAACATTTTTAGCATACCATTTTAAAAATTGTTTATGATATTTACAAATAAAATCACATATATTTAAATATTTATCTAAATCCGTCCTCTTTTATATTATGTAATGCATTTTCCATTGAAGTTACTTATTTCTTGCTATGGTTTGTTATATTTTATAATTACTTAAAACTATCTAAAGACTCAAAGCAAAAATTAAACTGAGCATATGAGAGTGTCTGTTGTGAGGCTTAGTGACTTGATAAGATAACACATAAAATAACCCATTAAAAGAAGTTAACAGTATTCAGCAAATATTTCTAGTTGTTATAAAATGCATTGTCAAATAGTGATGCCTCTTTTTCTGTCAGTCTTCCATCCCTTAAATTCTTTAAGTATATTACCTCGAATATGAGAGTTGAATAAATTGTTTAGGATGGTGACGATGAGCATCTTTAAGACTTTTGAAAGAAATAACCAAATCACTTAGTTGGGACATCTAAATGTCTGACAGAGTATTGGAAACATTGAGGCAAATGGTAATGTGAGAAATGAATCCAGACCTGAAAGATTAGATCGAAGATACCTCCTATACAGAACATTGTGGCTATAGTTAATATCTCTAATTTGGAATCTGGGCTAAACGAAGGTTACATTGACTATAGAAGTATCTAAACTTTATGATTAGGGTTCACATGTCTTTTTGATGTCTGAATTGCCTTTAATTTATAATTATCTTACGATTTTTAAACATGGTAATGCCTAAGCAGAAGTGCAGTGAACTATAAACAGTTGAATCTCAGCTACAACATACTGTGCGTATGTATATATATATATATATATATACACACACACAAGGCATGTTAAATCATGCTTTCAGACCTTGCATTGGGAAGTGCAAATGATAAGTATGAAGATGCCAGATATAGTTGAACCCTTAAAATTTGTATATTAGTCCACTACTTGAAACCTAAAAGAAAATTCCCATGTGAATTTTCTGATATAATTGATTAATAAAAAATAGATTGGAGCCAGCTGCTTTTATAGTGGTTAAGGCAGCTGAATCCCACATCGCCAACTTGCGTGGTTTGAGTCCCAGACCTGGTGACTTGAAAAACATACCAGGCACTTGTGCGTATGTGCATAAAACCCCAAATGGAGACTAGAGGAAATGGGATTGCAGTGTGGCCTTCCCCCCACTGGGTGGAGATTTCTCAGTGTTCTTCTTTTTCTCTTTGGCAAGCACACATGCCATATAGCAAACTAATAATTAATAAAAATAAATAAATACAGTAGGGTTTTTTTTTAATAAGCAAGAACTTAAGATGACAGCTTTTTATACTACTACAGTTTATGGTACAGATTTATATTTCGATAAGAACTTTTTGTTGAGTCTAGGTTTCTATTGGAAGCATAAACTTTTTGTTGTTAATAGTCTATATACCAGGTAAAAAAGTTTTGTTTTTATTTTCAAATAAGGGCAAGTGTTGTTTTCCAAATGCATATGAGAAGCAAGGTTGACTTGTGAGCCCTTCAAAGTAGTGACACTCTTTTTAATTTATAGTTTGTTCTAAAACCAGAAACTTTTTTTTTTTTGCTGTTTAAACTTAGTTATCTTTTAGTAGATAATGTTTATTTTTATTCTCTAGATGTTGTAAATTTTGATGACATAGCTTCCTCAGAAAACTTGCTACATCTTACTGCAAATAGACCAAAAATGCCTGGAAGGAGATTGCCTGGCCGCTTCAATGGTGGACATTCTGTAAGTTACACTTTTTAGTGTAAAAATCAGACGGTTTAACACAGAGTTCATTTAAAGATAAATTAGGATTTATAGCTCTACCTAAGTTTAAAAATCAGAAAGGTAAGTTGTTGTACTCAAGTGGCAAATGCTAATATTGGAGATTTAAGGAGATAGATGTATTCATTTCATCAGGACTTGGAAATGGACAGTTTCAGAAACAAATAAAAAGTTACAATTAGATCATTAACCACAGAGCACAGGGTCATAGGGGAACAGGGAACCTATTTAATACAACCATCCAGCAATAATGAATAGAATGAACAGTTAATACCTGCTTAAGGAAATAATGAGAAAAAATTCCCCCCCTGACCTAGTCAGTATTTTTGTAGCTATTCCCAGTGTCTAAATGTATAACTTTTAATGTTTTCTGTATGTTGTCTGGAATACTGGTGGTACTTTAATGTTAATATGTTAATTCTTAAACACTATGGTGAGGAAAATTCTCTTGATAAGAGGTAAACTAATTTTGCCTGCAAATATATGTACATGCGTTGTTTAGCTTGAGATTATGTAAAATCATATTAACAGTATTACAATATTAGGGAGAGTAGTAGCTGAAAACAAAGTGATAAAATAGGTTTGTTATCCAAATGCCAACTATCTTTTTCTTCTTTGGTCTATTTTGTCTCTTCATTTTAAAAATTATCATTTAGCCAACTCAGAGTCCAGAAAAAATCTTGAAGTTACCCAAAGATGAAGATAGTGCCAACATAAAATCATCTGAATTTAAAAAGGATACATGCTACCCTTCAAAGGTAAGGTGCATTGTGGTCTAAGAATTGTATAAATTCTAGAATTCTTTTTTTTTTTTTTTGGAGAGGTTTTTGCTTTAGGGCGCTTACACTTGCCCAAAAGACAGAGACAGATAGAGACAGAAAGAGAGAAACCACCCCCCAGGGGGGACATGCGCCCAGTGTGAGTTTAAGCCACCAGGTCCAGGACTCAAACTGCGGTTGATTACATAGGAGTCCAGCGACATAGCCATTATATCAACTGCTGGTCCCAATTCTAGAATTCTTTATGAACATCAAAATTACGGAATTTAAACTGCCTTTAAAAAGAGTTATTTTTTTCTGTTAAGAAATAAAATTCCTGTGGAAAAATTTGAGTTTTTAACTTAAGTCACACTGTTTTCTGTAGATGTTTTTTTTGAGAGATTACATTATTTTAAATGAGTCATATGTAAATTTTAAATATTTTATTTTCTCTAAGGCATAGATTTGTACATTTATTTTTCCATTAAACATAAACTCTTGAGGTTAAAAGCCATCACTTGTTTATTTCTTACCTAGCTTGGTTTGACAGCATATTTAAGTACTCATTATATAGTGTAATGAATGACAGAATACATGGATTCTTCTGTCTGTATTACATGGCGTTGAGTGTTTTTTCCTAAACATTTGCCCTTTTTTTTCTTTTCTTTTTTCTTTTCTCTTTCCTAGGTTTTTCCCATAGGCTATGTGCTCTCTGGAGACAGAGGGAAGGGGAGAAGTCCCTCCTCCCCTACCCTGGGAAGCTGGCCATGTCACAATCCCTTCTTCTCTGTTCCCTTCCTGGGATTTTGGGCACACATGCCTGGTGTGATTTTTTTCAACTCACCAGGTCTGGGACTTGAATTGCAGTCAGCCATGTGGGAATTCTGTCTTAACCACCATGCCACGGCTAGCCCCAGCCTTTGCCATTTTTATTTAAAATAATTTTTACCTCAACTGATACATATTTAAGATGGTCATGTTTCCTCCAAAGTTATTCTTAAATTTTATTCTAAAGCATTTGGTTGCTCTTTCAGTGTATTACATATACTCAATCTGATTGTTTTATCTGTCATAGGCCTATTAAAATTTTGCTAAATACCAAGTTATTTCAGTAAAACAGTAAAGGGGTGCCAGGCTATGTATTTAACACCTTCTGTGAACTTACTAAATTCTTCATAACTTTAAAGTTTAGCTCTTTGGCTATTCTAAACGATAAGTATATAATATGGAAGATCAAAATAACACTTTAATAATGCTGATATATTTTGCTTTCACATGTTGCTTTAGGCAAATCATTCATAGGATAAATCTGATGCATTTCATATTTTTCCCTTTTTTTTTTTTTTTTAAATAGAGCCGTTATCATTTCTCACAAAAACCCGCTAGTGAGAAAGCAAATTTTCTGTTTGGTATTCTGATGGTTTTTCCAGTTATGAATATCAAACTTTTTTGAATTTTAATATTTCCTTTCTATCTTGAAGTATTATTTTAATTATCTTCTTGTAAAAATAGGTTGAACTTAAATGTATAGTTAATTCAAATCAGAAAAATATTTTTATTGTGTTTTCAGCCATCTGTGTATCTTTCAACATCTTCAAGTGCTTCTAAAGCAAATACATCTGCTTTCCCAACTCCGGTAGAAGTCAAAGCTAAAATAGAAACAGATGATGGGAAAAAAAATTCCCTTGATGAACTTAGAGCCCAAATTATTGAACTGCTGTGCATCGTAGAAGCAATGAAAAAGGATCATGGGTAAGTAGCCTGTGTGAGTACTACTTAAAACATGTGTAAAGAATTCTTTTGTGGAAAACTCAGGGAGACATTGGGGTAGGCAAAGACTTCTTAAAAGCACATGCAATAATCCCAAAAATAGACAAGTGTGATTACATCAGATTAAGAAGTTTCCGCATAGCAAAAGAAACAGTGATTAGTGTGAATTGACAACCTTCAGAATGGGAGAATATTTTTGTAAAGTATCCTTCAGATAAGGGACTGATAGCCACAATACACAGGGAGCTCAAATGGCTTACTCCCCCCCACCCCAAAATGATGAACCCAATTTAAAAGATGAGAAAATGAGCTGAAAAACCGACTCTCTAAGGAAGACATACTAACAGCCAAAAAGCATATGGAAAAATATTCAAAAAGATCAAAATCCACCTAACCCCAGTTAGAATGACTAAGATTAAAAATAAACAGTAAACGATAAGTGCTGGTGGGGCTGTGGTGAAAGGGGGACTCTCCTGCACTGCTGGTGGGAATGTAAATTGATTCTCTAACCACTGTAGAGAACAGTATAGAGATCCCTCAAAGATCTACAAATAGAACTACCGTGTGTGTGTGTGTGTGTATATATATATATATATATATATACCCCATTCATTTTGTAAATGCAAAATGAATGGGGTTGCTATATGTGATTTCTAAATCCTCCTCTTAACTCTGATGAAAGTTTTTGATAATAGTATATGGTTAGACATACCTTAACTGAAAATTAGATCTCTTAGAACTAAAATAATGTTCTTTTTAAATTGTTCCCACACGTGTTTGCCAGAGAGATAACATGTGAGCACACTCCCAAATGGGCATTATCACATATAATTCCTTCTCCATTTCTCTTTCCTGTTGGGATTTTAGGCATACATCCATCCATGCTCACTGTTTTTTGTTTTTTTTTTTTTTTTAAGAGAGTTTTTTTATATTGGTTTTTGGTTTTTTTTTTTTTTTTAAGAGAGATTTTTGCTATAGGTACTTGTGCCTGTCAGAGAAACAGAGACAGAAAGCAAGAAATCAACCCACAGGGGATGGCCATGCCACAATCCCTTTTCCTCCATGCTCCTCTTGTGATATTGGGCATGTATGCACGTGCCCAGCCTATTTCAAGCCGCCGGGTCTGGGACTTGAACCATGGTCAGCCATGTGGGAGTCCAGCGACATAATCGTTGCGCCATCTGCTGGTCCGCCAGTATGTTTTTTTTTTAATGCAGTGATGGCTGGGATTGAAACCAATATCAGCCAAGTGGGATCTGGCTTCCTTAACTACATTAGGCTACAGCACAGGCTAAAATCAATTTGAAAAACCACCTACTATGTAGCTCGTGTCCCTTTTTTAAAATAAAGAAATAAAGTTTCAGAGAAGTGGCCTAACATCACATAGTTCTTAAATGACAGATTAAATCATGGTTATTTAACCCATGTCTTTGTCCTCTATTGGTTTAGAATTTTTTTCTTTAATCATTAGTATTTAAATTTTTAAACTCGTTAGCATTTTGGACATCCTGCAGATGCCAAGTAGCAAAAACAAATGAAATCAAACAGATCAAAGCTAATCTAATTGAACTGAGAATGAAGGTGTTTATTCTTTTTCTTCAATTTCCTCTCCAAATGGATTTCTTCATAGCCAAAGGCCATGTTACTTGGGAGCCCAATTTTATCCTTTCTCCCCAGTTCTGTTAATCTAGAATTTTTTTTAATTAAAAACAATATTGATAGGATGTATTTGTAGTCTAAGAACACTTACATGTCTCTTAGATGAAAACAAAAAAATGTATATATATATATATTTTTTTTTTAATTAAAAAATATTTTTAAGGTGTTTGTCATAAGGCATGTGTGCTCATCAGAGAAAAATAGTGAGAGAGAAAGTGAGAAGTTGCCTCCTGGGGTAATGCTCATGCCTACAATCCTTCTTTTTCATTCTCCTCTTAGGATTTAGGGCACACACACCTAGGTTGTTTTTTTTTTTTTAATTTTTTTTTTTTTTTTCAAGTTTTTGCTCTAGGGTGTGTGCGCTCGCCAGACAGAGAGAGACATAGAGACAGAAAGCGAGAAATCACCCCCCAGGGGGGATGGCCATGCTGCAATCCCTTCTCCTCCTTTCTCCTCTTGGGATCTTGGGCACGCACTCACACGTGCCCGGCGTGAGTTCTAAGCCACCGGCTCCGGGACGCAAACTGCGGTCGACTACATGCTGCAGTCCCTTCTCCATTTCTCCATCCTGTCAGAATTTTGGGCCCACAAGTACACACCACCCACTGTTTTTTAAGCTTCTGTGACTAGGACTTTAACCATGAGAGTGGGTGATGGAGGGGCATGTAGTGTCTAACTACCCTTAACCGCTAGACTTTGGAGTTGGTTCCCAAATATTTTTAACATCTTCAGTTCCTCTGAAAAATGCTATTGGATAGCAAATTTTTAAAATCTAAAAATGAACAAATTTATACTGATGAAAAGTGATGTGAGTTTATACTTCAACGTAAACTAATTTAAAATATGTGGCGA